TGGATTTCCAAGACTGCTCTCCAGTTTCTCCTTGCCATTCTTTGAGACCCTCACCCGAGCCCCACCTGAGGGAAACACCAAGGAAAACATAGGCATAATATCTAGTGAAAGGACATCTGCCTGGCAGCCTGTCTTGTGCAGCAGTGCTCCAGTTGTGTGGCACATTGTCTGTGGCTCATTTTTTGAGGTATAAATAACTTTACAGTATATATCTTTATACATATGTTGGCGAATCTCTGCACAGATGTCAGCAAGGCACATTGTTAGTGATGGAACTTTACTGGGTCAAAGTGTATCTGGCTTGGCACCCGTAGTTCAGCTATTGGGGTGCCAGCCACATACAGTGGGGCTGGCAGGTTCAAACCCAGCCTGGGCCTGCCAAACAACGATGACAACTACAACAAAAACAATAGCCGGGCATTGTGGTGGGCGCCAATAGTCCCAGCTACTTGGGAGGCTGAGGCAAGAGTTTGAGGTTGCTGTGAGCTGTGATGTCATAGCACTCTACCAAGGGTCGACATAGTGAGGCTCTGTCTCAAAAAGAAAAAAAAAAAGTACTGTATCTGAATTCTCAAAGTTTGGGTAGAGTTTGTCAAATTTCCCTCCAGAAAGGTTGCAGCTGATAATCTTTCTTATCATCACCTTTTCTGCTTACTGCCGGTGTCATAGAGTTTTGATTTGTGTCCATCTGATAGGTAAAATGGTTAACTCTATAGTTTGATTTTTATCTTTTGAATTGAGAGAGAAACTTCTTTGGAGTTTTTGGTCATTTTATTTCTTTTTCTATGAATCACCAAATGATTGCCTTTTCTTTTTTTTTTTGAGACAGAGCCTCAAGCTGTCCCCCTGGCTAGAGTGCCATGGCTTCACTGCTCACAGCAACCTCCAACTCCTGGGCTAAAGCGAGTCTCCTGCTTCAGCCTCCCAAGTAGCTGGGACCACAGGCGCCCGCCACAATGCCCGGCTATTTTTTCGTTGCAACCATTATTGTTGTTTGGCAGGTCTGGGCTGGATATGAACCCGCCACCTTAGGTGTATGTGGCTGGCGCCTTAGCCACTTGAGCCACAGGCACCAAGCCGAGTGCCTTTTCTTATAGTCAGCTTTGTAAGTAAAGGAAATAGATCACCATATGGTTGTAAATATTTCTTCTAATTTGTCATTGGTTTTTTTGACTTTTTTCCATAATAGATTTTTATTTCTGTGTAGTTGAATTTATCAGTCTTTTTTTTTTTTTTTTTGTAGTTTTTGACCAGGGCTGGGTTTGAACCCACCACCTCTGGCATATGGGGCCAGCACCCTACTCCTTTGACCCACGGGTGCCGCCCTATCAGTCTTTTCTTGATGACTTCTGGTTTTCTTCCCTGACCTGGACACTCTGCCTGTTGCCTCTAGCGCAGCACACTGGGCCACATAGTTCCCCACCGGGCATGCTAGGTATGAAGCTGTGGCAGCCGAGCCCCAGAGCTGTAGGACACTGGCATGCTGTGAGAAGGCCCCGGTTGTTGACGGAGCTAAATTTAGTGTCCCTAGCGCTGCTCCCTGTCTGTTGAGCAGAGTTAACCACAGTAGGGTGTGCAGGCTGGTGAGGCGGAAGCCTCGAGTGTGGGGGGCCGGGAGGTGGCATGGACACCAGACGTGGTATTGAGTAAATGCCAGGTGGCTGGTGAGGTGAAATGGCTTTGGGCCCTTCCTCGCCTGACACTGAAAGAGATTATGATTGAGATTTAGACCGCACATGGTGTTATCTTTCTGGGTGTGATTTTGAACCTGCCTGTTCTGTCCTGTAGGTGAAGAGATGGCGTTTGTGAAGAGTGGATGGTTGCTGCGACAGAGTGAGTATGGGACCCACGACTGCATCCAGCTGTGCCTTAGGGCGCATCTTTATTTCTGTTTGCTGAAATAGATGACATTTAAAAACAAATCATAAAGTCTTATTATCATGTTGGTGCCCTGATTTCCTCTTGGATGATTTTAGAGTGTGGTGAACTGTTTCTACACTCAGGGAACTCCCCGTTGGGTTGCCGAGTAGACAGAAACCGGGAAGGGATGGCAGCCCTTGCTTATTTCTCCTGCCAGCTGCTTATTACTCATGGTTGACCTGAGACTGCCTGAATCTAATCATGCTCAGCTGATAACGTTGGCGTGGGGGTACTGGGCTCTTTGCCTGTCTCATTTGGAGATTGAGCAGTGACTCAGATTCTGAAATAATGTAGTCTTTGTTTTTACATGGATGAAGACTTGACCTGAGGGAATAAACTTTTATAGAACCTGAACTTTTGTATCTTCAGAAGGACTCCAGAGAAGAGACTCAATTCCTTATTCCTGGGATTGAGATGCACTTTGCTCAGCTCGTCTGTGGGCCTTGCATGTACTGTCTGCTTGTCTCTCTGGGGCTGCTACTCCATGTGGTGTTCATAGTGTGCTTTAACACAAGAGCCAGTTCGGGGAAAAGTGACATATATTATTTGTGATTACTAAAAAAACTGAACACATACTGTTTATTGGTCAGAGAGATGAATTTATGTTTGAGGGATATCTTCAGAAGTTAGCTAAAGTTGAGTATAGCAATGAATCAATTGCATTTCTTAGATGGTTTATAAAAACTATTGTTTATGTCTGGGTGCTGTAGCTCACTTCTGTAATTCTAGCACTCTGGGAGGTAGAAGTGGGAGATCCCTTGAGCTCAGGAGTTCGAGACCAGCCTGATCAAGAGTGAGACCCTGTCTCTGAAAAGTAGAAAAATTAGCTGAGAGTTGTAGTGCTCACCTGTGGTTCCAGCTGCTTAGGAGGCTGAGGCAGGAAGATTGCTTGAGCCCAGGAGTTAGAGGTTGCTTTAAGTGAGGCTGACACCATGGCACTCTAACCTGGGCTGTAGAGTGAGACTCCGTTTCAAAAAAAGAAAACCCAAGAAACAAAAAAACCAATAGTGAACAAATCTATGCTTCCCATCAGTGCTTAATGTGGTGATACTCAGACTTTTCATTGTCCTGGTCCATGTTTCAGAAGTGTATATTCAGAAATTTTGTAACCCCATCCGCGGATGTGTGGGTTGATTTTCGTTTGCTGAAACCAGAAGTATCAATTCCATTAAAATTGAAATAAGATATATTTCATTTCCTTGGGTCACAGAGCTGTATACACATGTAGTTACATGTAGGCAAAGCAATTGCCAGGACTTTTCCTGCCATTGCTACATAGACCCTTGGGACCCAGTATTTGACTTCTGCAGGACAGCCTGATTTGGTATTTTACAGCTAGAGTTTTTTTTTTTTTTTTTGAGACAGAGCCTCAAGCTATCCCCCTGGGTAGAGTGCTATAGCATCACAGCTCACAGCAACCTCCAACTCCTGGGCTCAAGCGAGTCTTCTGTCTCCGCCTCCTAAGTAGCTGGGACCACAGGCGCCCGCCACAACACCCGGCTATTTTTTGGTTACAGCGTCATTGTTGTTTGGTGGGCCCGGGCTGGTTTCGAACCCGCCACCTTAGGTGTATGTGGCTGGCGCCTTAGCCACTTGAGCCACAGACGCCGAGCCACAGCTAGAGTTTTGATGGTGGGTAGAACTCCCTGCCTTGGTGATTCTGCCTGTGTGCAGCCGTTTGGTAGTTTCTACACAGCTCAGTTGCTGCCAGTCAAAGGGATGCTGGGTCTCTCCTATTAGTCAGTTTGGGCAAGTGCTGTGGCAGTCCCTCTGGGGAGGAGGATGTCTGATGCTGGTGGGAAGGCTGGATGTTGCTTGTTTGGTTGAGAGCAGTAGCAGGCATGGGAGTGTAAAGGGAATGGAGTTTGTGCATGTTGGCCAAGAACAGGGTGGGGTGTGCAGTGGGTGAGGAAGGTGCAGGGTGACCTGGAGTGAAACTGGCCTCTTACTCTTTGGCGGGGGTTTTCTTTTCTAACAGACGAGGAAATTTCAGCTTTATAAAGTTAAATGTCTGGTCTAAGATGACAAATGAAGGGATGAATTCTCAAACTGACAGAAATGTATGAGGTGGTAAGATGGGCACAGGGTGAGAGTTGGGGCCCTTGGTCTGGGTTCAGGGTCCTGCTATGTTCATTTGTCTGGCTTCTGAGCCTGTCTCTGTACCTGCATCAGGAAGGCAGCCCCCTTCTACCCAGGGGGCTTCCTATAAGGGAAATGTTAAGAGAGAGTATACATGACAGCTCTTCACAATAAAGAATTCAGTATTTTTCCAAGAGAGGAAGGTTGTATTTTTACTTGCATATAGAGACTTTACAGTTCAGCATTTTCTGATAATTTAGCAAATTTAGACTAGGTGTGGTGGCTCATACCTGTAATCCTAGCACTCTGGGAGGCCAAGACGGGTGGATTGCCCTGTGCTCATAGGTTCGAGACTAGCCTGAGTAAGAGTGAGACACCATCTCTAAAAAAATAGCTGGACGTTGTGGTGGGCACCTATATTCTCAGTTACTTGAGAGGCTGAGGCAAGGGAATCGTTTGAGCCCACGAGTTGGAGGTTGCTGTGAGCTATGATGCCATGGCATTCTTCCCAGGGCAACAAAGTAAGACTCTTGTCTAAAAAAAAAAAATTAGCACATTTAGTTAGATACCAGGAAAGTTTTAAAAGTTTAAAGTTGGCTTGGCACCAAACAACAGTGACAACTACAACCAAAAAATAGCCGGGTGTTGTGGCAGACGCCTGTAGTCCCAGCTACATGGGAGGCTGAGGCGAGAGAATTGGTTAAGCCCAGGAGTTGGAGATTTCTGTGAGCTGTGATGTCACGGCACTCTACCTAGGGTAATAGCTTGAGGCTCTGTCTCAAGAAAAAAAAAAAAAATTTTTTTTTTAAAGTTTAATTCTATATGGGGAATTAAATGTTTGTTAGACGTGTTTCATTTATTTAACAGAAAAGTATTTTTTAAAAACTTTCAAAGTAGGCCAGCACAATGGCTCACACATGTAATTCTAGGACTTTGGGAGGCTGAAGTAGGAAGAAAATCACTTGAAGCCAGTAGTTCAAGACCAGGTTGAGCAACATAGACCCTATCTCTAGAAAACATTTTTTAAATTAGCTGGGTGTGATGGATGCTTATAGTCCCAGCTATTTGGGAGTCTGAGGCAGAAGGATTGCTTGACTCTAGGAATTTGAAGTTTTAGTGAGGTATGATAGTGCTCCTGTGTTCTAGCACAGACGGTAGTGTGAGACACCGTTCCTTCGGAAAAAAAGGTTTTGGGCATTCTTAGTTTGCAGCCTTTAGGTGTCTGTGGTTGTGTTGCATGTGGCCTGGGTATGGTATAGGTGGTCAGGGCATCAGGGGCTGCTTTCACTTATTTTGGGTGGACTGGTTTGGGGAATTCTATGCAGGTGTATCTGGGGGTCAGGGGAAAGTTGCATTTCTTCTGTGAGTAAGAGATCACAGTCCTTGTTCTTTTGGTTCAGCTTGGTGCTATGTTGCATACCTATAGTCCCAGTTACTCAGGAGACTGAAATGGGGGGATTGCTTGAGGCTGTGATGTGGTATAAAGTTGGAAAACTTCAGCTTATTTATCCTCATAGCCACCGTACTCCAGACTGGACTATATAGCAAGACCCTGTCTTATAAAAAAAAAAAAATCAAATTGGTGTTGGAATTGAGAGGAAAAAACCATTTTTTTCAGGTACCATTTTGAAACGCTGGAAGAAGAATTGGTTTGATCTGTGGTCGGATGGTCACCTGATCTATTATGATGACCAGACCCGTCAGAGTATCGAGGACAAGGTCCACATGCCAGTGGATTGCATCAACATCCGCATGGGGCACGAATGTCGGGGTAAGCTGGCTCGCCCTGGCCGATTTCCGTCATCTGTCCTCCCCAACCTTCCGTTCTTGATGAGAGCTGGATCCTCTCCCCTGTTCTGCTTTCATTAACAGACTGAAGAAAGCCTCAGAGAGGGGCACCCACAGTTGGACTCCAGGCCCAAATGGTTGGGGCAGATACAATCCCCTGTGCATTATTTCCACCAGTCCATGGCCTTCTCTTACTGAGAGGGAACCAGAGTGGTGGGAATCCTAAGAAGGATGAGGCCACCCTAGACCATATTAAACTGGGATGTTTGATGGTAATGCCAGTTGATTTCTTAAAATCTGTGATGTCTGTTTCTAGAGGTATTCCTTATATTCATTTTAAAGGAATGAATGTTGTGGAAGGTCCTCCTTGCAGCTAGTTGGCTTGCTGTGTTCTTTCTGCCCTCTTGGGTAGGCCAAGGGGTCTTAGATGTAGCACTTGGTCTATTGTTTAGTCCTTTGCTTATCGGAGCTGTTAGGTCTTAGAATATGTAAGAATAAGTCCTTAAAAAAATCCTTTCTTCTGCTTTTTCTTTTATAGATATTCAGCCTCCAGAAGGGAAGTCAAAAGACTATATGCTGCAGATTGTTTGCCGAGATGGGAAAACTATCAGTCTTTGTGCAGAAAGTACAGATGATTGTTTGTAAGTTTTGGTTTCTTATGTCTTTAATTTAAAATGTATTTTCAGTTTTAACTTCCAGTTATCAGAAAGGGAAAAGAATGGGAGTGGAGTTTTCCTTTGGGCAGCAGAATAAGGGACTCAGTGCACATGTGAGAGGAACGGAACAGGGCTTCTCCCGATTCTAATCTCTGCCCCTCTAGGACTGCCTGGGCAGATCCTGTTGTGCTGAAGTGGCAGGGAGTAAGAGCAGTCTCTCTGCACTCTCTTTTTTCATTATTAGATTCACACTGGGTAATGGGCATAGTGGAATGATTTCTTAAATCTTGTTCTTTTTATATAAATGTCTTTTTAAAAAGCCCCCACAACTGTATTATGCAGCTTTTTCCTTTGTTTAGTGGTCCTTGCTCCATCTGCCATCTCTGAGGAAACCCAACGTTATTAATCCTATTAATTTTGCCATTGATGTTTGATCAGAATCTTGAAAACAGGGACCGAATACAAGTTGAGGAAAAGAATTTTTTTTTCTGTCTACTTTGTACCACTTCAGTTAGGTAACTCTGGATGTTGTGAGAAATTAGTAACAGATTACTAACATAATCTTACATGCATGACATTTTCATAAAATCCTATAGACCAGTGGGTCTCAACCTGTGGGTCACCATCCCTTTGGGGGTCGAACGACCCTTTCACAGGGGTTGCCTAAGACCTGCATATCAAATATTTACATTACGATTCATAACAGTAGCAAAATTACATACAGTTATGAAGCAGCAATGAAAATAATTTTATGGTTGGGAGTCACCACAGCATGAGGAACTGTATTCAAGGGTCGCAGCATTAGGAAGGTTGAGAACCGCTGCTCTAGCCCGATCGTCAAGTGCCTGTCCTGCACTCGTGTTCCTGCTCACCCTCATTATTCGCGTTCCCATGCCACGCTCTGGGTTTATTTTAAATTCCAGAAGAAGCTTTTCTACAGTGTTCTGATTTATATTGGTGACTCTTAAATGGCACATTCTGAAGAGTTGGGGGGCTTCCTAGAGAATGATGGAGAAGTGACCACGTGTCAAGCTCATTTGCTACTCCTTAAATTGAAGCTCTGTTACTACTGTTTAATAATGTCAATTAACACATGTTGAACACTTCACACTGGTCACTGAGTTAACTGCCTTTACAGATGATGTGTTATCCCCACCGTGTCTTACGAGGTGGATTGCTGTTCTTATTGTTACAAAAAATGGAGGCATAGAGAATTTCAATAATTTCTGTATCAGGCTCAGTGCCCTTAGCACAGTGGTTACGGTGCCAGCTGTATGCACAAAGGGTGGTGGGTTCAAACCTGGCCCGGGCCAGCTAATGACAATGACAACTAAAAAAAAAAAAAAATAGCCGAGCTTTGTGGCAGGCACTTGTAGTCCCAGCTACT